GGCATTAAGGTGGGCTTGTGACCCTTGGTAGCTCATCTATCCACCCCGCATCCTGTTTAAAATTGTTTGCTGTAGCTTTTGTAGTATAAACTGGCCCCCAAGAAAATTTCCATGTTGTTTTTAATGCTACATGGTATTGTGTGTGGCAGTCCCTGGGTATTGCAAGTGGTTAACACACTTGGCTGCTAACTGAAAAGTTGGCAGTTCAAGTCCACCCAGAGGCACCTCAGAAGAAAGGTCTGATATCTACTTCCAAAAAATCAGCCTTAGAAAACCATATGAAGTACAGTTCTACTCTGACACACGTGGGGTCTCCACGAGTCAGAGTCAACTCGAGGGCAACTGGTTGGTTATTGTGCGGGTAGATTCTTCAGGGGAGAACTTACAGAGGAGCTCACCAAACAGGATCAAGAGGATGCAGGCCCTAGACAATGAGGGGTGGGTGACATCTGGGTTACATTGGTGCTCACAGATGGGCAGGGGAGGGAGCAGGGGATTCGTCTCACCACGAGCAGCATCAGTACATGACAGGTGCACGTAGGGTGCTGCAGAAGGAAGGCTTCACAGAAGAGGAGACTTCTGAAGTGGACCTTAAAGGATATAGCTGATTCCACATGACAAAATGGGTTGGGATGCACAGAGCAATACGGAGGAAATAGTATGAGCAAAGCTCAGGCTAAGCTGTAACTGTGTCTAACTTTCTGAGCCCACCTCACCAGTGGAGTGGGAGGCAATTCCTGGGAACGTGCTGGGACCAGGAGAACCAGCCTACGGGCAAACAATAGGACTGTAGATCAGCCACTCCACAGAGCTGGCTCCGAATGGATGGTCTCTTGCTTAAGCTCTTTCTCAAGGAAAGAAATGCCATGGGTAATGCCATCTCTGTAGAGATTTTCAAGCCTGAGTAAATATTTAAAGTGTTCCCTTCAAAATTTGGATCTGGAGATCCAGAAATTTCTAGATCTGCCTTTTTCTGCTCCCTAATTGGAGGGGTAACCATATGTCTTAGTGTGCTCATGCTGCTGTAACAGAAATAGCACAAGTGAGTAGCTTCAAAAAACAGAAATTTATTTCCTCACAGTTTAGGAGGCTAGAAGTCCAAATTCAGAGCACTAACTCTAGGGGAAGTCTCTCTCTCTAAGCTGGGGGAAGATCCTTGTCTGAGTTTCTCTAACCCTGGCGTTCCTCAGTTCTGTGAATATGTGTTCTGTAGGACAAAAAACTAAATTCACGAAAAAGACCAGCTTACTGGTCTGACAGAGACTGGAGGAATCCCCAAGACTATGGCCCTAAAACACCCTTATGACCTGGAACTGAATCCACTCCCGGAGACCACTTTCCAGCCAAACCATGTAGGCCCATAAAATAATAACACCCAAGAGGAACATGTTCCTTAGAACAATCAATTATACTAGATCAAAAGGACAACATATGTCCAAAAGCAAAGATGAGAAGGCAGGAAGGGGCAGAAAATCCAGACAAAAGGAATCAGGGAACCGAGGGTGGAAATGGGGAGAGTGCTTGTGGGGAATGCAACCAAGGTCATGGAACACTTTACTCACAATCAAATGGAAAACTAATTTGCTCTGTAACTTTCACCTGAAGCACAATAAAATTTTTAAAAAAAGAAAGAGAAGGCCCTAGCATCCAAAGGAGCAAACAGAATGGCTAAACTAAAAAAAAAGAAGAAAAAAGATTATTTTTACAAAATAGGAAGTCAATGGACCAGCATTAAAGTGCCCCTGGACTAAACTGGTTTTTACACATGCACACTGACCTCTGCTGGACAGTCCATTAAACAGCCAGCATTTTTCTCTTGAGATAGCATGGTTAGGAAAGGGGCATTTTTCCCAACTTATAGCTTATATTTAGAAACAGATTTGTATAGTTCAATTCTTAAACATTCATAAGCCCTCCACACTACCTTACAGCAAAATCTCGCACTGCACTTGGCTGCCAGGCTGAGAGTCCACGGGCAGAGTAGAGGTAAAACCAAAACTCCCTGCAAGAACCTCCCCAGGTTCACACCTCCAAGCTGGAGTCCAACACTTTGTTGTGAGCATTTATGCCCCAAAGTAGCCAGTGTTGACAAGTCTGACATGGATGGTGCAGTCACACAAGCTGAACTTTGATATAAAGTCCTATGCTCCAATTCAACCCTGGAAATGAGTGATACTTTATTTAATGTTCTTTTAAAAATAATGTCAGTTTCTGATAATAATTTACATGACTTTTAAAAAATTTGTAAAGAAGGAAAAAAATGAAGAGGAAATTAAAAATTACATACAAAATTTCATCACGAGATAGCCATATTTAAATTTTCGTTTATTTTTTGCTAGTCTTTTTTCCCGGTGTATGTATGTGTGAATGTGTATGTAATTCTTCACAAAACTGGGTCCAGTTCATTTTGTAGTTTGCTTTTCTCATGCAATATTACATTGTGATTATTCTAGATTAATACTCTTTAACATATTTTTTATGATGTTGACTGTAGTGCAGTGATTTACTTAATATGGCCCTTCTAGCCATTCATGGTCTTGTGACTCCTACAAAATGATTGGGTGGGACTATGCAAATAAGGCACTTGTGGCCCACCAATGGGATTGGACAGCCTGCTAACAATGCAAATAAGGTGTATGGAACCATTTTGGGGGTAGGACTATGCAAATAAGGGGTATGGAGCCAATCCCAGAAGAGGAGAAGGGGACCTCGCTACCTCAAGAAGAGCGAGGAGTGGAGTGCATCCTTTGGACCTGGGGTCCCTGTGGTGAGAACCTCCTAGACCCAGGAAACAGAGCTGTAACACTGAAGACAGCAAGAAATGGCACGCAGCAGTGAGAAGCAGCAGCAAGCATGGCAGAGTCCAGAAGCAGAGAAACAGCAGCAGCAGAAAAGGAGAGTGGTGCAGTGGAATTCCCAGCCCACAGAGTGAGGCAGCTACAGTGGGCTTGCTGACCTACTGAGCGAGAGAGCCGAGTACCTTCAGGCAGGAGGCTTGCTGGCTTCCTGGCACTTACCAGTGGAGCTAAAGAAAGAGCTGTAACCACCTGCCCAAGCTGGGCAGAGGCTAGGCAGAGGAGTCAAAAGCAAGGCTGCCTGCAAGCATGGCTCAGAAGCTGTCCTGACCAAAGAACTGTACCCTGAGAACTGCATCGTTCCTGATCCTGAATTGTAACCTGTTACTTCCCTAATACACCCAATAACTGTGAGTATGGTCTGTGAGTTCTGTGTGGCCATTGCAACAAATTATCAAACCCAGCAGAGAAGTAGAGAGTGCCATGGGAGGGACAGCTGGTGCTAGAACTGGCAAAAAGGTTGGAGGGTGGAGGTATGTTTGATCTCCACCTCATAGGAATTGGCCTTGGGCTAAAGCTGATCTTGATTCTCTCTCCTCACCCTTGTTAAGTTAGAGGTCTGATGACATCCACACACCATTTTTTGCATGATGGACCATAATTTATGTAACCCAAACCAAAAAAAAAAACCAAATCCACTGCCTCTGAGTCGATTTCAACTCATAGTGCCCTTGTAGGACAGAGTAGGACTGCCCCGTGAGGTTTCCAAGGCTGTAAATCTTTACAGAAGCAGACTGCCCCATCTTTCTTCCACAGAGCAGCTGCTGGGTTCCAATTGCCGACCCTTCCGTTAGCAGGTGAGTGCTTAACCACTGTGTCACCAGGGCTCCTAATTTATGTAAACAAAATTATTATTAAACACTGAAGTCACTCCTAAATAAAGCTATGCTGAGTAGCTTTACATACAAATATGTGACCAAATCTTTTATGATTTCTTTAGGATACACTCCCTGAATAGACTCACTGGGTCAAAAGTTATGGAATATGAACATTTTTAAGATCCCAAATACAAGCAATACTAGAAATGCTCAACAAAATATGCCAATTTTAACCTCCACCAACAGCACAAGAGTCCCCATCTCACCTCACTCTCACCTGCAATGAGAATTATAACTTAAAAAGCTCTTTGCTAAGTGAATAAGCAACAAAAATTTCTCAGTATAACTTAGTCATATCTATTCATATTTTTATTGATCATTTGTATTTGTGAATTATACATTCATGCCCTTTGCCTATTTTTTAATGGTAAATTAATATTTTTCTTATTTACAAAAGTTCTTCATACATTAAGGCCATTAACTGTCTCAGTGTGGTTTTACAAAGTATGCATAAAGGTTGCTAATCCAAATATACCCTACCATTAATAGTTTGGGTATGGTGTGATCTCTCCTTGGACGCAATAAGTTCTTTCCAGAAAAACAAAAACAAACAACCTCATAAATTGTAAATACCAGGGAGATAGTAGCACCAAGTGGCCAACAGATAAAACATGAAGTAGAAATATTCCACGTACCCCAACTCACTGAACATTAGACAAATCTTAGAGCTTTTTTCTTTGGAAGATTTTTTTTCCTAAACTTTGTTTTGTTGTTGTTGGGAATATACTCTGCAAAACATACACCAATTCAACAGTTTCTATATGCATAATTTAGTGACACTGATTACATTCTTCAAGTTGTACAACCATTCTCACCCTTCTTTTGAGTTGTTCCTCCCTCATTAACATAAACTCACTGCCCCCTAAGGTTCCTATGTAATCTTTTGAGTTGCTGTTGTCAATTTGATCTCATATAGATAGTTCTTAAAAGGGCATGATGTTCCAGGCAGGACCTTTTTACCAGTTAAGCTAAACTACTGTTCGGTTTTAAGATGACTTCAAGGTATATTTTTAGTTTAAGGTTTAAATATTATCTCAGGATAATAATTTCAGGGGTTCATCTACCCTTCATGGCCCCATAAAGTCTAGAGTCCATGAGAATTTGAAATTCTGTTCTATATTTTCCCCCTTTTGATCAGGATTCTTCAATGGAATCTGTGATCAAAATGTTCAGTAATGGTAGCCAGTTCTTCTGGTCTCAGGGCAAAAAAGGCAGCTGTTCATGGAGGTAATCAGCCACACATTCCATATCCTCTTCCTATTCCTGAGTCTCCTTCTTCCTCGGTTGCTCTAGGTGAATAGAGATCAGTTATACTGCCTTGGATGGCCACTTGTGGAAGATGTTTATAAAAGATAATGTAACTTTAAGAATGGATTCATTAAAAGAATAGCAATGTGTAAACCATAGTCAGGCAGTTACTAAGGTATTGTGTAATAAAATCTCTCTTCTTTTTTCATCTTCAAGCGGTTGTTTTGGTGATAGAATACTGGTAACTTTTTCTTTCTTTTAATTAATTCCTTTACTATAAAATGTCATTCTAGAGATTTTTTTTCTTTGCACAATTTTAACATAGTAATTTCGCTGTGGAAAACAAATTTCATCTTGCAGGAAAGAGAAGATTCCTCAAGACCACCCACTGGCATCTTTATTCACATATTAGAGCGAGTCAGCCAGTGAAAATCCTAAAAAAGAAAAGACAACAAACATTCAGTCAAAAGCCCAGTTAACCAAATGGGAAGTAACTGTCTCAGATTATACCCTCACTGTTCTGCTTGCTCTCAAATCTACAAGTCCTATCTGTTGTAGCCACAAGAGAGGTCAAATGAAGTTTGTCTTTCGTCTAGTACTTTTACCAAAGAAAGGAAAAAAAAAGTTGCTGTCAAGTTGATTCTGACTCATGGCAACCTTTTGGTTAGTAGTCGAGAGCTTAACGATTTGTGCCACTCAGCTAAAAATCCGTTAGTGAAACTTACTACCTTGTTCTACACAACAATCTAAAATGACTTTCAGGGACCTCCCTCATTAAGAGTAATCAGGACACAATAAAGCTAGAGTCCGAAAGAACCAGAAGCACCCTCAAAAGAAAAGCAATGAAGACCCAAAGATGGCCAAGTCGCCAGGCCAGAGAACAGCCTAGGTAGGGAGAGCCATGCACGGACACCTTTCCCTGGACTAATACCATCTTGCACACGAGGCTGGACACAGGCTACCACAGAGACTCAGATACTGCCCGTGTTACAGCAGGAAGCAGTCGACCTACACTGGGAATCAGTGACGAACGGCAGATGGACAGACAAGCAGTCAATGAAAAATCAGCAGCCTGAAGACGATAGTATGTGTGGAATTCTACTGGAGTGAAGATACACAATGTTGAAATACAAATGCAAGAAATAAAAGCATAATCCTTGTGGAATTATAAAAAAGGATAAGAAATTATATTTCTCCAGTAATACCCAAGCAAAATTCATACAGAACTTGGAGGTACAGATCAGTAGAAAGGTGAACTCACTGGCAGAGGGGGAAAACTCATTAGTGCTCTTCTGTGACTAACACAGGCCTCAAGTCTGCCCACTGATATTTGTTCTGAATATGTGTTCACCATGCTTCTCAGAGTGGCTTTGGTTTCCCTAGTACTTGATGCCCTGATGCCAGGAGGAAGGCATCCTGGGTTGCAGCAGAATTAACTTTCTAGTCACTGGAAAGTGATAAATTAATAAAATGACATCAGATTTAAACATCTGTCTATGGGGTATCTATTTGGCAGAAATCAATTCAATAAACAGAGCTTTAAAAAAAAGGCAATCAATAAGACCACAGAGGTAGAGTAGATTCTGAAAGTTGTTCACCCCACCTGCCGGCTTCCTGCACAAGAATCCCTGCTGCTGCCACCTGCCCCATCACCTAACCGGCCTAGACTTCCTGTGCTCACATTCCTCACCACCATGCTTCTCCTGCCTATCTCTTCTCTCTGCTATGAGGTAAATGCCAAAGCCTCTGATACCTGTTTTTATAGAAATAGTAGAACTTCTGTGGGATTCTCTATGTATTATTAAAGTTTACAAATTAGTTAATTTATATTTCATTGATTGTCCATCTGTCTATCTGTCCCCTGCATTATTAAAAAAAGAAATAGATTCTACAGTGGATACACGTACAAAAAACCAATACAGAAAGTACTCGAAAAAAATATCTGCCCTGAAAACAATGGCTGATGTCAAGGTATAAGCATGGAGAACAGGCATATAAGAGGTGGGGGAAGTAGCAGGGCCAGGACCTGAGGACAAAATTAAGTATGAAAATCAACTTAAACCAGTATGGGAGTGGAACATGCTACACACTTCATCATTTATTTTACTACCATATTCTTCACTATGGTTTTGTTTTGGAGGTCAAAGTAACTAACTCTGAAGGCAACCACTCAAGTGGTCATATTACAAACAAGTCTACAATTCATGCATTCATTCAGCAAATACTGGTTGAGAATACAAAGCATTGGGCTATAGAATATGTAAAATGTGGAGTCCTCAAGGAGTTTATAATCTGGTACGGGAGATAAGACGTGCAAATAAACGACCATAACACGAGGTAGGTATAAGCACCAAATGAGAGGCACAGATAGTGCTCCTGCGGAAGACCAGATGCCATTCAGAGGACAGACAACTGAGACTGGTGATGACCCAGAGGAGAAAACAGGATTTGCCAAGGGCTGTATTATGAGTACAGGTGAGACTTCACCAAGCAAAGACTGGAAGGGAAGGACACTGGAGTGTGTGGGACAAATATGAGGGAAGGCTAAGATATCAAGAAACTATCAGCAGCAGCAGAATCAATTTTAAAAAGTTTAAAGGACAACCATGGGTTTAAAAACAAGAAAGACAATGCAGAAGACAAGATTTAAACAATCATTTTTTAAAACCTTCAGTTGCCATCTAGAAAGGATTTCAATCAGCCATTACAGTGCTGCGTAGGAAGCATCCTGTTGCTGGCCAACGGCAGCAGCCTCCAGAGCGTGTGCGGACATCTTCCCGCTTCTCTGGCTGTGCCTTCTCAGTCCTGCTGCAGGCTTGTCCTCCTCCCAACCATAAAATACCAGGGTTCCTCTGGGCTCGGGCCTAGGCCCCCTTTTATTCCCACTCTGTACTCTCACTATAGACAATTACATCCATAGTCTCCTTTGTCATCTACATAGAGAGAAATCTCACATTTATACCTCTGGCTCAGCAGATCTTTCCTATAAGCTCCAGTCCCAAACAACCAATCGCCTCAGCAAGTATTTCCACTTGAACGCCTCAAAGGACAATCCGACCCAACGTGACCAAGATTAAACTCTTGAGCTTCTCTCCCAAACTCAGTCCTCTTGCAGGTGCTACCTTACAACTATTCGTACAAGTCAGACTTCTAGGAGTTCCCATCCGTGCAGAAGAGTTAACACAGCAGGTCTGACTGCTGTTCTTTGAAAGGCCTGCTTACAAGGTTGGTCCTTGGTTGGCATCTAGGAATTTGGATTTAGGAAAGGTTCCCACCATCCCCAGAACTGCTAACAGTGGCTCACTGTGCAATGTGGCTTATGTTGAATACCTGCTTTCAAACCCTGGGCAGAGTTTCTAACAAGCTTCCCTGGTTGTCAGCATTTCACGTGTATTGTCACAGCTCATTGCTCATTAAGCATGTCTTGTGTGACTCTGCAGCCCTCATGACATAGTGATTAAGAGCTACGGCTGCTAACCAAGAGGTCGGCAGTTCGAATCCACCAACCGCTCCCTGAAAACCCTGTGAAGCAGTTCTGCTGTCTTATAGGGTCGCTATGAGTCGGAATCGACTTGACGGCAATGGGTGTGTGCCTCCTCTGGAAAAAGACTCTGGAAGCTTGTGCCTGGTCTCCCCCAGACAGTGCCCCATGCGCCTTTTCCCTTTGATTTTGTTTTGTATCCTTTCACTGTAATAAATCACAGCCATGAGTACGACTATATGCTGAGACCTGTGAGTTATCCTAGTGAATCATCAAATTGGGTGTGGTCTTGGGGACCCCTGACACAGCAGCCATCATCCAATTCTGATGACCTCACCTCCTAAATATCTCATCAATCTATCCACTTCTGATTCCACCACTGTCATCCTAAGCAAAGCTTCTGGCACCTCTTGTCTGACTTGTGCAACAGCCTAGTAATTCGTGTTTAAACATCTCTGATGCCCCTTCAGTCTGTTCACATTGAGACAAAGGGAGCTTTTCAAAATGCAAATCTAATATCATCTCCCCACTCCCACACTGCCCCATCCTACTTCCCCTGCCTTAAACTCCTGCAATGGCTGCCCACTGCTCTGAGGAGCCCGCTCAGCCCCTCTCCAGTCTCACCTCCCACTATGCTCCCTCCACTCTATCTTTTAACCACTCTGGCCTTCTTTTCAGTTCCTCAAATGTGCCATGCTTCCTCCTGCCACAGAGCCTGTGCACATCTCTTCCTCTCCTCCTTGCCAAGTCTGTCCCTACTCCTCCTTCAGATCTCAGTTTAAGCATCACCTCCTCTGAGCAGACTTCCCTGTGACCCTGACATAATCAAATTCCTGTGTTGTTTGTTTACTTAAAAGTGGGTTCCTTTCCTTCAGAGTGATCCCTTCACTCTGTCATGATGTATTCCGTCCGTGAGGTTACTGAACTGCCCATCTCTGCTGCGGGACTATAAACTCCATCAAGGTGAAGGCTGGGCCTGGTTTTGCTCACTATGCTATTCTTAGCACCTAACATGCACCTAGGGTATACCTCAGCAAACATTTGTTAAACAAATGAATTTGCCAAACTCAGAACTAGTTTAAGAAGGACTCCGCAAATACCAGAGGGTATTCTGTTTGGTAGATACCCTTTCTTTGGCAGATGTTTTATTTGCTTTCTATTTAGCAATGACACTTACCTGGGCCTTCCGCATGGCTTGTGGCTCAATCATGATGTTAATAAGAGAGGGCTTAGCTGTGTCTGCCAGACTCTGCCTCAGGGATTTCCGGAGTTCCTCTGGTGTTTGTACAAAATATCCATTGCCTCCAAATGCAGTCATGACCTGCTCATAATGGGAGTTTGGCAGAAGACAGAATGGAGGGGCCCTGAAAAAGATCAAGGTCAATAAAGTTTAACCTTAAGGCTTTTAGAAAAAAGTCATTTTCTGAAATAATCTGTGAAATAAGATAGGTTGAAATTAAAGACATACTATTACCTTTAACACTTAAACTAAGATGCCAGTATACTAAATGTTCCATAGACTTTTTTATTAACAATATTTTATTGTTTTTGATGAAACTTTACACAGCAATAGGTTCCCATTTAACAATTTCTTTGCAGAATCAACTCGATGGCAGTGGGTTTATGCATATTGTTCAGTAACATGGGTTCCATTTTTCACAATGTGTCAACATTCTCATTATTTCCATTCTGCTTGTTCCGTTTCCATTTATCTACCTTCCCTGCCTCCCCTTACCTCCTCATCTTGGCTTTAGGGTAAATGTTGACTGTTTGGGCTCATATAGCTGATGTTTTTCTTTTTAAGAGCATAGTACTCATGGATGATGTTGTTTTGCTTTATGAGCTAATCTGTTATTTAACTGAAACGTGATCTCCGGGAGTGGTTTCAGATCCAGGTTTAAAGGATGTCTCAAGGTGACTGTCTTGGGGGTTCCTCTGGTCTCCACCGATCCAGTAAGTCTGGGCTTTTTTTAAGAATTTGAGTTTTGTTCTACATTTTTCTCCCACTCTATCTGGGATCATCTATTGTGTCCCTGGTCAGAATGGTGGGTAGTGGTAGCTGGGCACCATCTAGTTCTTCTGGTCTCAGGATAGACAAGGCTGTGGTTCATGTGGGCTATTAATCCTGCAGTTTCTTCTTTGAGTTTTTGGTTTTCTTCTTCCTCCTCTGCTCCAGACAAGTAGAGACCAATAGTTGTATCTTAGATGGCCACTCACAAGCTTTTAAGACCCCAGATGCTACCCACCAGACTAGGATGTAAAACATAAACTTCGTGAACTATATTATGCCAGTTGACCAAGTTGTCCCACAAGACTATGCTCCTAAGCCTTCAAACCTAGCCAACCTATCCCGTGAGGTATTGCTTATGTCCAGTAAGTATCCGTAACTACGTCCCCTATGTGCTTTATTATATATATATGAATATATATGCAGAACCATGTATATAACTATGTCTACACGTACACCTATATGTGCACACATATACCTTCCTATATACAAATGTGCATAGTTATCTACCTATGTAATAACAGATATATTTTTTGGTTGACACTGCTGTTGTTGCAAAATTGTATATAACATTTACCAAAAATGTCCCTTATTTTAGTGTACTTTTTAGTGTCTTCATTTACCTTAGTCAAGTTGTGCAGACTTCACCTGCATTCAGTGCTGCCTTTCTCATCACCAAAAATAACAAGTGTCTACTATCTAGAAAGTGATTCCCCCTCCCATCCCTGGTAATCACCAGGTAACGTTGTTTTCTGTATGTATACCTATTCTTTTTATAAAAGTGAGATCATACAATATTTGTCCTTTTGTGACTGACTTATTTCACTCAGCATAATGTCCTCCAGACTCATCCATGTTATAATATGTTTCAAGAACTCAGCATTATTCTTTATAGCTGCATAGTATTCCATTGAATGAACATACCACAATTTGTTTACCCATTCATCTGCTGATGGGCACTTAGGTTGTTTCCATCTTTTTGCTATTGTGAATAATGTTGTAATGAACATAGGTGTGCATGTGTCTATTTGTGTCACTGCTATTAGATCTCTAGGGTATATACCTAGGAGTGGAATTGCTGAATCATAAGGTATTTCTATTTCTAGCTTTTTGAGGAATCACTATACAGTTTTCCATAGTGGTTGTACCATTTTACAATCCCACCAGCAGTGTATGAGAGTTCCAATCTCTGTACAACCTTGCCAGCATGTTGTTTTCTGTTTTTTTTGATCAGTGCCATTTTTGCAGAGGTGAGATATCTCATTGTAGTTTTGGTTTGCATCTCTCTACAGGGTCGCTGAGTCGGAATTGACTTTGAAGGCAACGGGTTTGGTTCTTGGTTAATGGCTAATGATCACGAGCATCTTTTCAAGTGTTTGTTGGTTGCTTGAATGTCTTTGCTGAAGTGTCTACTCATGTCCTTTGCCTATTTTTAAATCGGTTTGTTTGTCTTTTTGTTGTTGAAGTTTTCTATATATTTTAGAGATTAGGCCCTTCTCAGATATGTTGTTCTCTAAGATTTTTTCCCAGTCTGCAGGATTTCTTTTTATTCTTTTGAGTTATCTATTTTGTCTTCTGTTGTTTGTGTGTTTGTAACTGTGGTTGATAATCTACTTCTAAAGAAAATTTTGTCCCTATATAAATCTTCCAGGAACTTTACAGTTTTAGCTTTAACATTTAGGTCTTTGATCCATTTTGAGTTTTTGTGTATGGTGTGAGATATGGATCCTGTTTCATTTTTCTGCAAATAGATATTCAATTTTGCCAGCACATTTGTTAAAGAGACTGTTTCTTCCCCACTGAATGGACTTTAACCTCTTGTCAAAAATCAGCTGTCCACAGATGGATGGATTTACTTCTGGGTTTATTGTCTATCTACTACTGTCCAATAGAACTTTCTGTGATGATGGAAGTATTTTATATCTATGCTATCCAATAAGACAGCCACTAGTCACCTGTTGTTCCTGAGCACTTGAAATGTGGCTAGTTAAACTAAGGAAACTCTTGGCTACTAACTGAAAGGTTGGCCACTGAATCTATCCAATGGCACTGCAGAAGAAAGGCCTGGCGATCTACTGCCATAAGAGTATAGCCATTGAAAATCCTATAAAGAGCAGTTCAACTCTGAAACCATGGTGTCACCATGAGTTGGAATCAACTCTACTGCAACAGGTTTAGTTTTTGGTTTTAGCGGCTACCTTACCAGACAGTGCAGACCACACTATCAACTATTACAAATCCAAGAGAAGAAGAGAGGAATGGCTACTGCAAAACAACAAATAACTTCAACTCCACTATATAGTAGTTTGGGAATGAAGTCAGTGAGGCATAAACAAACATACTCATTGCCTACCCACCCCATCCCCCAGCTAATACAAATTCACATTCCCCTCACACCCCATGGCCAGTTCCAACACTGTCTTAGTTTAGCTTTGTCATCAGATGATCAAGATTTAGGTAAGTGCTTAAAAACCAAACAAAAAAAAAGGAAAAACCAAAAACTTAACCCACTGCCATCGAGTCAATTCCGACTCATAGCTACCCTACAGGACAGAGAAGAACTGCCCCAGAGGGCTTCTAAGGAGTGGCTGGTGAATTCAAATTGCCCACCTTTTGGTCAGCAGCCGAGCTTTTAACCACTGTACCACCAGGGCTCTAAGTGATAAAAGGGAGGGAGGTCTCCGGATCATAAATAATCTGCAAACACCCATATTCCAACATAATGCAAGGCTAGACATCAGCCCCATTCATCTGAGTCTTCCGTGGCTCCAGATAATCATCATATTTACTAAAGAGCCGAGTCGTGGATGACTGGGCAAAGAGCGATCATGCACAACCTGCCGTTCAGAAGTGCTGACGATCAAATCACACAATACTCACACCACATAAGCACATTCAGATGTAGCAGAATTTTTAAACAAAGATTAAAATAGGTGACAGAGAGTGCATCTACGTTGTTCTAGGCTACTCACATGGCAGCAGCTTCTCGAAAATTTAACATTTCCTTCCAACTACTTGCATCAACACCTTGGTAAATTCCATTATTATTCACCACCAAGAGTATGATTGGCAGGTTGTACCTAAAATTGAGAGCAAAGTACAAAGAAAATCATTCTTAATTCTAAAGCAATTTCTTTTCTTTAAGTTGAAATTTTAACTTAAAATGGTTACTGTTTTCTGTACGCTTTTTGGTAGCATTAAAGCCAGGCTAAAAATCAGGCATTTATTATCTTAATAAAGAATCTCAAACTATTTACAGAAACATTCTAAAGTGGTAGAAAGAATGTAAGACTAGGGTTGGTAGACCTGAATTTTTGTCTGGTTCTACTACTATTCAGCTATGTGCATAGAGCAAATCTTGAGCTTCTCTGAACCTTGGTTTTCATAGATCCAGATGGTAATAAGACTACACCTTCCCTACTTAATATCCTCTGAAGCATCACTTCAGAGTCTGTTTGAAAACCATCTTTTTAATTTTTGAGCTTTTCTCAGACAACCAGCATATGCTTGATGCAATGGGAGATTTATAAGAGATGAGCAAACATTCTCTGCCCTCAAACCACTTCACCCATAATTAGAAAGACATTATGTGATCTCATTAGAAAAAAAGGTAGTATTTAACAATGTGCTACACAGTATAGTAAAGACAAAAAAAAGTCTGACTAGTGATTGATAAAAGAACATGGGTTTTATTTTCTGCAGACATATTTCTGAAGCCAAGTGGTAAAAACAAAACTGCATAGGGCTAAATGACAGGATTTTGGTAAATATTTACTCTTCATGCTAAAAGGGAATCATTATTCTCTAGAAGGCTGGCTGTCCCACAAATCATCTTTTGGTCAATCAGCTCACTTGGCTGTCAATAAACACTCTAACAGGCATATACTTTCCCCCGATCTTGAAAGTTTTACGTACCAAAGTTCTGAAAGCCCCAAATCATGATTTACAAAAGGTCTACTAAGGGCCCTGGCTAAGACTAGAATGGTTTTACTATAGTTCAATATAGAGAGGAAAAAATACCCCATACTTCTAGAGCAGGATCTATAACTCGTAAGTTTCTCCACCAATCCCCCTTACATCATGGGAATAGCTCATGTTCACTAAGCATTCACCTCTACCTAGACGATCTCATTTGTTTCTCACAACCATCCACTAAGGCAGGCATATTACTGTTCCTACTTTAAGAGAAAGGAAACTGATGCTTGGTTAAGTGACTTAACCAAAGTCCCCTGGCTCAGGCATGGTAGAGCCAGTATTTAAATCCAGGCCATCTGACTCCAGAAGCAGCCCTGAACATGCTATCCTTGAAGAGAAAGACCCTGGGTTATTTATATTCCCATGCTCAGGACACACCACAGTGCCTGGCACATGAACACTTGATAAGCATTTGTCAGGTGAGTGGGTTTTATGGGTAGTTTTTCATATTTTGGAAAACAACAACGCTCAGTCTCAAGATGCTTTTTTACCTGCAAATGGTTTCCACCTCCATGCCAGAAAATCCAAATGCACTGTCTCCTTCCACACAGATGACCCGCTGCCCTGGGTGTCTATCTTTAGCCACTAGAGCAGCTGCAATGGCAAATCCCAAACCGACTCCCATTGTTCCAAAAGTACCAGCATCAAGCCTGTTGGGAAACAAAGCTACAGTGAAACTTTCTGGGCCATGTTACAGAGGGTGGGGCTAGTACAAGCCCTCTGTATGCATGCACATGGCTAATGGGAAAATAAACAATAAACCATTCTTTCTTTGATTTAAAATTATTAGAATGTGAAGACCTAATGTGGCAAGGGTAAGTAGAACAAGAGGAAAATGATACCTGTGCCTGCTTAGAAGACTGTGAATATATCCTGGGAACACTGAGTATACAGATTATCACATGATCGCTAGGATATATCACACATAAAAACTACAAAATCTTACCCAAGAATACTTTTATGAACTATGCTCTTATACACTGAAAATATATAATTCTCAAATGTTTTATTAACCTGCAGTATTGTTAAAGTTAAAGTGAACGACTGCTAACAGATAGGTCAGCAGTTCAAAACCACCAGTGGCTCCATGGGAGAAAGATGTGGCAGTCCGCTTCCATAGAGATTTAAAGCCTTGGAAACCCTACGAGGTTGCTATGAGTCGGAATCGACTTGACGGCAGTGGGTTTTTAATGTATTTAACACATTAAAATTAAATAACAGAGCTACATTTTTTCTTTTTTGCAAGCCTTGCCTGTGACGAGGAAGGTAGTTCTGAAGCACAGTGCGTCCAATGTCCATAGTGTTTGCTCCTTCACTTACCACAAAACAGTCTCTAGGTAGCTGTTCTTGAACATGGTAGAATACTGTGTAATAATTCATGGGTAGAGATATTTTGGAAGCTAATTCCTAAAACAGCAGAAGGGAATAGATAGGAATATAATGAAAATAAACAATGTCCATAGTTATTATCAAACCAATTTGGCAAACCACTAGGCAACAATTCCAAGTTCCCCGTGGCTGTGAAACGGCTACGCTGAGAAGCTAAGTGACCTGTGAACAGTCCTGGGAGACGTGCTGAGAAAAACGAGAATCCCTTTAGTAAGGACAGGTGGGAAACACTTGGTTAAACAAAACCAGTCAATCCTATTCAGCAGTCTTAGGGAAACACTGCCTTAGAAAAAGTAAACATTTTATTCTAAAATATTTAAGGTATGTACCTAAATTTAAAATAAAAATGTTAAGATTTTAGAAAACAATCTGAAAATCTGGTTCTTCTTCCCACCATCCACACACACTGGAGGGTAAAGGAAATACACTACACCCACTATGCTAGGGTGTCCCTAAATGGAGGGAGAAGAGAGTCAAGGAAATGCCTCTTGTCTAGCCATATGCCTACCGGAGCTGACAGAAAGCCACATGGGGCGTTAGCAGCAACATCCCACTGGCCCTATCAGCCCCAGCACTGCCTCTCCCCCATGTTACTTTGGTCTGAGATTATACCCAAGATGGATGAGTGGCCCTCTTACACCCCTGCACCAGAGGCCAGTTCCATTCCTCCTAAATAAGGGAAGAGAGCAGATTAATGATACGATTCAGGAAACAGAATTGAGGCTAGCTCCTGCTAGGAGAAACAGTCCCTGATTAAAATTCCAACATAAGACAGGATCATGTAGAGTCAGTTGTGCTATAACGCTTATTTTGAAAACGTGAATTTGTTCCAACACAATTTGTATTGGTCATGCATGATTCTGTCAGCAAGAAACACTGGTAAAAGCAAAAAGCTGCACCCAGCTGAACCAAGATGGGTAGGAATACGTAGAAAAGTGAAAAAAAAAAAAAAAAAATCAGAAACAACCTTTCTCACAATCAAAAAGAAAGCACTACTTACATATGAAGACTTTAAACAAAAATCATCAAATTGAGCAGAAGTGGCTCCTTCGAGTGCTAGCAGGTGACAGTTTGATAGTTTCAAATATCACTACAATTTCCAAAGCCTTCAGCTATCAGGTGAAGCCACAAGTGCAAATGAGAATGTTGCAAAACAATTTTCAGCAGTGATACAAAAGTTAATTGAAAAAGAAGGCTATACATTGGACCATTTTTTCAATGTTAATGAAACAGCTATTATAAACTTATGTCTCAAAGAACCTACATCTTAAAGCAGAAAAACATGCCTCAGGATTTCAGGCTGTGAAAGACTGACTGCTTAACCACGATGTTTGGTTTTGACATCAAACTGAGGACAATAAGCCACACCCATCCATAACTGGTGATAAAGCTTTCCGTCCAATTTTAGATGACCCTCTTTCTACCACTTCTCCCTAACGCACAAGCTGCAAGCTTTCCATGCCCAATTCCATACAAACTTCCTTTTCAAGGTAGAGTGCCATATTTGTTGTACTATATATGCATTTCTGAACTACTTAATGTGTGTACATTTGTGCTACTCAGTGACACACAACATCTTATTTTTATGTGTCACAAAATTTTTGAGCACTGTGCTCCTAACTCTATTTCCTTACAAGCCCTGTGGTGTTCATTGCGTGATTTTTAGGAATGCATATGTCACATTATGACAGAACTAACTGAACCATGAACCTAAGGCTTTCCTGAGTTTCAGTGAGTCCCACAATTACCTTGGATGCAGCTTCGTTGCTCTTCATTTTTTCCCTCAGAGTTTTCCACCACGTGCTCTCTGGAGGATATTGCCATGGTGTTTTATCGAATTGTTCTAAAAGCTAAAAACACCACAAACTTTTTCTTACCTTTTTGAAAACAAACTTAAATCATATTAACATAAAAACAATCTTTTATTAAAGAAGACAATAATACTCTTCTAGCCTACCTCTCACACCACTCGTATGTTTGCTTGTTTTTTTTTCTAGGCACCCTACAGCTGATAGAAGATAAATGGGGAACATGGAAAGCTTCTGCCTGAATCAGTGTGGATTTCTGCTAGAGCTGGGATTCCCACAGGACAGAGCTATACTTCATAGGCAGGGGTTCCTAAGTCTCCCTCAGTCTTTGACACTAGCAGAAAATCCACCACTTTTCACAGAACCCTAGCAGGAAGGCCAACATCCCCAGATTCCTATGACACAGAACAAATGCTCCACAGTGATTTAATATGTAATTTGGAATTGCATGCTATTATTGTATAATCAGGGGCTCTTGGTGGCACAATGGTTAAGACCTCAGCTGCTAACTGAAAGGTCGGCAGTTCGAGTCCACCAGCCACTCTTTGGAAACACTATGGGGCAGTTCTACTCTGTCCTATAGAGTCACTATCAGTTGGAATCAACTCAATGGCAATGCACTTGGTGTTTGTTTGTTTTTAAATTGTATAATCATGTTAATAAAACCAATTTGTATCAGCCAAAATCCAGTAATGAATGTGACAATATTTTATCTCCTATTATAATGAAATGTATAAACTATGTATAAATAATCAGAACCTGGACAAGTCACTGATTATAGTTTGAAGAGTAAAAAGCTCTTTATTGCCGGAAGAAATATTAAGTTAGACTTTCCCAGTGCCTAAGCCATTTCTTGGCTATAAATTCAGTTCCTCTGGAAGTTGTATTATAATTTTTCACATAGCTGGATCTTATTTAGTAAATCACTGTTCTGCCTACTAATGACTTGAAATTTTCAATCACCTTCCAGAAATGTTTAACTTACTCATGGTCTAAGTGCAAGGAGTTAGATTCACCGAGTTTCAAAGTTATATTTAAGAATAGTTTTTCACCATAAATTTTGTTTAAAATTGGTATTAATACTCCAGTTACCAAGTGAATCCAGGTAGAAATGTTTTCAAGAACTGTTCTTTAAAGACCAATCTGCATAAGTTAAAACTCAGGCAAAAGTGCTCACCTGTTTAGTCACAGCATTTATGTCTCCTAGCAAAGTGACAGCAGGCCTTACGTTATTCCCCAATTCTTCTGCACAGATATCAACCTAAAAGAGAGACTAGGCTGAAGAACAAGCCATGTTTAAGAAGTCAACTAAGGCGGAATAAATTAACTACGTATATATAACATATGATAAAGAAAATTTGATATTCAAGAAGTCCTTCAATAAAAGTAAAAATCGACAGAACTATATGAGTATCATAGCTAGGATAGAGAACTTCATCATTTTCCCTCATTTTAAAATCTACTTATGGAATTTTGGTGTGTTTGACCTGATCAATTACAGTTTTAAATCTAAGCAATAATAAGGTTCTACTTAATTACATTTGGGATTCCTATCTAGAGCAGGGGTTCTCAAACATGAGCATATATCAGAATTACCTGGTGGGCTTGTTAAAATAAAGAGTACACCTGTAACAGTACACCCCCCAGAGTTTCTGACCGAATATGTCTGGGGTGGGTCTGGGAATTGCCATTTCTAATAGGTTACCAGGTGATGCCGATGCTGCTGGTCCGGGATCACATTTTGTGAACCACTCCTTGAGCATGGCGTGATTACTTCCCAGTTACTCAGAAGCCCATTTCTGGATGGCCAAGGGCATCCAGGGCAAGTGAAAATGGGTTCTTAATTAGGAATAATTTAGCTGCCCAAAGAGGACGGACTTTATTCTGTAATCAAGGGATGGCAGTATCCTCCAGGTACATCCATGGTCTTGCTTATTTGTGGTTTTAGTTTTCAATCGCCCCAGCTGGGAAAAGGACTATTATTAGAGGCTGACTTCTTAAGAAGTAAAAGATACAAAGGGAGAAGACAGCAACTATAGTGGGTTCATCAAATATAAAATGGGATGGGGCCAATTTGTATAGGGCCAATAGGTTTTCATGCCATGTAGGCAGTACTTCCCCTGCCCATTAGGTACCTGGATTATAAAGACTGTCATAATGATACAAGAGCCATCAAAGAGAGGCCACAGTGTGTTCCACAACCCCTGCTTAATAACATAGGTAAATGTAGCATAGTTTAGAAATTTCCAACCAAAGGGTGAAAGAAAGTTTTGGCATCTAAAAGAAGAATTCAAGGTCTAACAATACTGAATATTCCATTCTAACCTCCCATACTACTTAAATCTCTTTTCTACTTTGAAATATTCTTGAACTATGGAAAAGAGGGAAGCCTTTGGGTGGTGCAAACGGTTAACACACTCAGCTGCTAACCAAAAGGATGGAGGTTCAAGTTCATCCAGATGCTCCTTGGAAGAAAGTCCTGGAGATCTACTTCTGAAAAAAATGAGCCGCTGAAAACCCCACAGAGCACAGTTCTACTCCGACACACATGGGGTTGCCATGAGTGGGGGCTTACCCAACGGCAACTGTTTTTTTGTTGTTATTGTTGCTTTTTTAACGGAGAAGAGGCAAACTACGCTTATTTTTCAAGCTATTTAAAACTTGATTTTGTGAAGTTTTCTGGTACAAGTAAACTGGCACATTATGTTTCTTAGGCTTGAAAAAGCAGCTTACTTGGTACCTATAATTATTTTACACAATTTATAAGATTCTACTTTTGTAAAAAGAGAAATAGTTCTTTACAAAAGCCAAGAAGAAAGAGGAACTGGTAATGGCAAAGAGAGAGAACAGTGAATTACAGATAGCTCTGATTTAAATCCCTCCTCTCTGAGTACCTGGATAAACTTCACATCTGGCTGATATCGTGGAGGCAGTCCAAAATGCAAAATCCAATTTAACCTTGCACCAAATAACACAATTACATCAGCAAATTGCAAAGCCCTATTAAAAAAAACAATATAACACAAAAAGTTTATATTTCTTATTTGAATGATTCTAAAATTAGTATCTGAAGTACTTAGCATAGTTTAAATAAACAATCTGAAGTTTGCATTAGACTTCAGAATCAGTGCTTGGGGTTAATTTGATCTCTCAAACTAAAATTTCTAAGCCAACTTATAAAAATTAATGCAAGTCCACAGTGGATAATCTAGAAAGATCAAAAAAAGTATAAAGAAAAAAAAATCAAATCACCCAATACTGTCACCTTATTAACTGTTATTAAAATCTTGGCATATTTCCATCTAGTCTTTTCTTCTATGTACGCATATTTTTACATAGCTGAGCTCATATACTATAATACTGTCTACTGCACTTTTGCTTCTTATAAATGTCTCTCTGTCATTATGTTCTTCTTATACAGAATTTTTAAAGGCTACATATTATGTTGAACATATATACTGTAATTTATATAAATAACCTTTTCTCTATTGTTGGACATTCTCTGTTACTAGTTCTAAGTTGCACACCTTTGTGCTTGAATTTTAATGCACACTTCACACTGACTCCCAGAAGGAGTTAGTTTTAAGGCTATTGATTCATATCCCAGACTGCTTTCCAGAAATACTAAACCAAGTATATTGCTAATAGTTTCATTCTATATATCTAATGCTATATTAGGTTTAATTACGTATTTTGTCTTTTCTCAAAATAATTAATTTATAATCTCTTTTAATGATTTTTACTTTGAAATCCACAGTGTCTCAAATTAACATAGCCACCCTTGCTTTCTCTCTGTTCACCTCATACATCTTCGCCCAATCTTATTTGTAACTGGTATCATTTTGTTTCAGATGTGGCTCTTACAATGTATATAGTTGTTGTTATGATTAACCCCATATGAATGTCTCTGCTTTTTTCCAGGAGAGCTTATTACCATAATTGCTGTGGGGTTATTTTTTTATTTTATTTTTTTTGCTTTTCTGCTTCTTAGCTGTTTTCCTATCTTTTACCATCTAGGTCTGTTTTTATTGCTTTTGTCTTCTTCAGTTATTTATGCTATTTTTCACAGAAATTCAGTTATCATTTTAAGGATATTCTCAAAAAAAGCGTCTTCATTTACTCCATCAATTCTGTGGCACCCAATTTAACAAACAGATAAAAACTGCAATTGGCAGGATAGATTTGCATATGATGACACTCTAAAATCCTTGTAATTACTGACTCAATTATCTTTTTCACACTATTAATGCCACTAGCAAGATCTTCTAAAAATTTGGCTGGAATCAGGATAAATTTTAGCTCAAATCAGGCTAAAATATCCACACAAAAAGACATCCTAATAATGCCGGAATTAATTTGGTTACTGTACAAAGTATACTAATATGAATAAAAAGTAAAGCATAATTGATTAAGATGGCATTAAACGAGCAATAAAGATCAATCAGCAAATGTAACATTTTTAAAACTCTCAAAATTGGTTTTAATGCATGCATGAGAATATGAAAAACAAACGCATGATGGTGGTTAACTGTGAAGATCGAAGGGGGAAACGGGATCAGGAAATACACACAAGGGACCAAAAATCTGTAATCCTTTGTTTCTTAAAAAAATAAAATAAAAACCCTAAGGCAATTATGACATAATGCTAATATTTGATAAAGTTGAGTGGTGGTTACATGAGTGTTCTTCTTGTATACATGTTTAAAATATTTCATAGTAAAGAAATTTCAAGGAATTAAAAGAAAAAAAAAATAGTACGTCTAAAGTGCATCTTAAAAGTCTGAAAAGAGAGCCTTCTGTGCCAGTCAAGATGGAGTAAGCCCACTACACCCTAGCTCTCCCATGGGCTGCAATAAGAACTCGGAACAAAATAGAAAAGCAACTACCTGAGGATTCTGCAGAGTGAACAACAGGCGGACTAGGGGGAGGGGGTGTCAAATCTTGAAGAAGCAAGCCATACAGGGAGTGAGTTTCTAAGTTTTCTTCCCCTCTTTTATCTCCTGGCTTTGGCTCAGGGTGACCCTAGTTGTAGAACTGCAGGCAGCAAAAACTTCAAGAGAAACCCTGTCTTTCTGACCAACCTGTCGCTGTCGAGTCAATTCCAATTCATGGCGACCCTACAGAACAGAGCAGAACTGCCCCACAGGGTTTCCGAGGAGTGGCTGGTGGATTCCAACTGTCGACCTTTTGTTTAGCAGCCGAGCTTAACTGCTTAGCCACTGCACCACCAGGGCTCCTCTTTCTGACCAGAGGATTAAAAAAAAAGAGGCCCCTGAGCAGAAAAGTATTGGGGTTGGGGGTAGGGGGGCTCAGATTTTTTTCTGTTTTCTCTTTTTTCCTCTCCTAGCTCTCTCTGCCCTGGGGACAGTCTCAGTTACAGAGCTATATTATGGTGGCTTCCAAGCAGCTAAAATTCCAAAAGAAGCTCCATCTTTCTGGCCAGAGGACCAGGCAAACGGATTCCTAGGACTCAGAGAGTGGGTACGGGGTCCTGGAGAAGACAGCAAAAGAACCCCTAATTCTGGGTGTGACCCAGCACAAGTCTGGGGCTCACCCCTGAGCTGAGCATGTGTGGGATGGAGCCAAAGCAGCACAGCAAAGGCTCTGAAACTGAACTGACACGGGAACTACTGGCCACAGTAGGTAAGACCGAACCTGCAGTCTGAACCTAACCAGGCTGACTCCCTGGTTGATTGCTAACACACACCCCACACTGCCTCCCCACCCCCAAAGAAAGCACACAAATACACAAAAACATTTTACAGGTGACTTTAACAGGATCCAGAATCTCACAACATAGTATTCAAAATAACCAGGATACAATAAAAAATATTTAAAACCAGATAAAAGTGACCAATTCTCAAAAGAAAAGATAATCAATAGATGCCAACCTAAAGATGACCCAGATATTGGAACTGGTTAACAAAGGCTTTTAAGCAGCTATTGTAACTATGTTCCACAAGGTAAAGAGAAATATTTTTGAAATACATGGAAAAATAGGAGTTCTCAGCAGAGAAACAGGAACTATGAAAGAGACAAAGGATTGGAAAAAAATGAACAGATTTTCAGGGACCTAAAGGACCCCTGGTGGCACAATGGTTAAGCACTCAGCTGCTAACTGAAAGGTTGGTGGTTTGAACCCATTAGCAGCTCTGCAGGAGAAAGATGTGGCAGTCGGATTACAGCCTCAGAAACCCCATGGGGCAGTTCTACTCTGTCCTTCAGGGTTGTTATGCGTTGGATTCAACTCAATGGCAATGAGTTTGGTTTTTTGTTTTTGTTTTTGTTTTAAAGGGGCCCTGGTTGGCCCAACGGTTAAGCATGTAGCTGCTAACCAAAAGGTTGGTGGTTTAAATCCACTCAGTAGTTCCACGGGAGAAAGACCTGGCCATCTGTTCCTGTAAAGATCACAGCCTAGCAAACCCTACGGGGCAGTTCTACTCTGTCACATGGGGTCGCTATGAGCCAAAATCAAGTTGATGGCACCCAACGACATGGGATAATATCAAAAGGTCTAATATCTGTGTCATGGGAGTCCCAGAAAGAGAGAAGAAAGGGGAAAAAAAAATTGAAGAAACTTCCCAAATTTGGTGAAGAACATAAATTAACAGATTCAAGAAGATCAGAGAACTTCAAATAGGATAAACGCAAGAAATCATGCCCAGACAGATCAAAATCAAACTGCTGAAACCCAAAGATAAAGCAGCCAGGAAAAAGTAACACATGACATGTAGAGAACAATTATTTGAATGGCTGTGGATTTCTCATGTGAAACCAGGAAGGCCAGAAGATAGTGGAAGTACATCTTAAAAGCGCTGAAAAGTCTAAAAAGAAACACGTGTGTTTAAATTTGTCTCCTGATCTTTTTACACGGTTCTTGCAAACTTCTCTCTAGATTCATAAAGATCAGAAAATAATTTAAATTAGCCCAGAATCTGCCAAGCCATTGTATTTAAAATCAGGAACGCCACGCACCTGGATCTGGCTGCTCTGACACAGTTTGGATGGTTGTCAGGGACTACACCCTTTCCCATGGGGGTGGGCAAAAAAGGCAGTTTACATTGCTCAACCAATTTCCTGATACTCTCCTCAGCTCTGGCATAAGCAGCACCTACAAGAAATGCAAATGTATTGGACAATTCAGTTACGCTCCAGGCACTGTGACCCTCTAAAACAGTTCATGTGAAATTGCTTTTAGATCTTTTCAAAGATTCTCCTTCTGCTTATCTAGAGCTTAAACCCAAAACAAACTGTGACTATGGTTTTGATCTTTAATATTTTTAAATGTTTAAAAAAGCAATAGTTCTGACTTCTCCCCAATAATAATCCCAATTATTCTGAAGGATGTCTATCCCAAAACAAAAGTCTCATCTTGCATCTCTTGCCACTCCCACTTATCCATTCTATGGCCCCGCTGAACTACTACTCACAATTCCCTGAACGGACTATTGTTACTGAGGGGATCCAGGCAGACACGGAGGGACTTTGCCCTGTCAGGGAGAGGCTCTCTCTATGCTCACACATCGTTCCCAACCACCAGCAAACTTGGACTGCAGAGTCTCCTAGTCCAGGCATGGAAATTCTAATATGGGGCATAAGTTTCTAAACTTTTGCAGACACCTCCTCCCCCAATCAGCTCAACAATTCTGTGATTCTAACAGGGTAACCCAAGGAGAACAGATACCGTTGGTTTTTACAGGTGTGTGCTTGTGAAATAACCATAGTTATGCCCCTGATGATACTAAAGAGAACTTACTGTTTAAAAATAGGGATGATTCCATTTCTTATATCATTAAGGCCATTATAATTTTTTTTTTTTAGCTATTTTATACTCCTTTTCAGGGCTGGTAGAATATTACTCCTTACCCAGAACTTCTAATTATTTGAATCCCAGTAAATCCCAAAAGTTTTCTTATATTTTCCCTCCCGCCTCAGTATCTTTGTATACCTGGTTCCCTCTTCCTGGACTGCCTTTGCTCTCCCTGTGCACTTGATATGCTATTATCCACTTTAACATGCGGCTGCAGTTCCATCTCTTTTGGGAAGTCGTTCCACACCACCCACAAGCAAATTGTTGCTACTTCCCTTGTGAATCCACCTCAGTCTCTCCGTACACACCACTTAACAGTATGTTGCAATTATTTGTCACGAGGTCTACTTCCTCCATGGATAAGGACCATTATTTCTCTATATCCCTCATGAATGTTTTCTATAACCCTGTTCTTATAATAAGTTCTCATCAAATGTTTATTAAAGGAAGAAGGAAAACTAGCACCCATTAAGTACCTTCTATATAGTCTGTTATTTAACTGTAACAATCCCGTTGCGGTAACTAACATCCCTATTTTATAAGTGAGGTAACTGAGACTAAAAGTAGTTGTCTGACAAGGTTACGGAGCTAATACATCACACAGATGCATTCAGCACAGCTCTGGCCTCAATTGTCTTGTGTTCTTCACCATTTTTATTAAAACCAATTTTAATATCCACGTAGTTAGTTCCCGAGCAGTTGATAATTGACTAGCATGGAACCTACTAGGGACAGGTAATAACTTAAATCATATGTGATTCAGAGCAGCCTCAGTTCTAGAAACTCATAATGGATACTATAATAAATTGCTGGCAGGCCTGCAAATTGTACAGCATTATGGGAGAAAGCAATTTGACAATATGTACTTTAAAAATATTAAAGCAATTTACAGTACATACATGAATGGACATACAATGCTAAATGAAGAGAACTTTTATTCCAATTTCAAACATTAGTGGAGTTGTTAATAAATAATGAGGATAATTTCTAAACATATTCTGCATTCTTTCTAAAGCCTAGCAAGTGTTAGAGTCTCGTCTGATGCTACCTTTCCCGATGACAAGAAGGGGCTGCTTGGCATTTCTGATAACAGATGCTGCCATACGCACAGCAGAGGTTTCTGCCATGCTAACAGGAGGGGGCATGCAGCACTCCACGTACCTGAAAATAAAGAGTCCTGTTAATTGAAAGAGGCCAACTTTCAAATTATTTATTGTGAAAAATATCAAATACATAATAAGATGGAAAAAGTGGTACAGTAAACCCCATATCTCCACCATCTGGATTCAACAACTAACACCATTTTATCACATTTATCACATGTGTGTGTGTGTGTATTTTTTTCAGAACCATTTTAAAGTAAATTATAGGCATCAAGACATTTTACCCCTAAAAACTTCCCCATGCAGCTTTAAAAGATAGGGACCTTCCCTTATATAACCACAATTATCCTCATCACATTCCCTAATATCATCTAATAAGCAGTCAAATAGGTAATTCAGTGACATGAAATCTGGGTTAATGCCATTGCATTGTAGTAGTAATAGTAGCAGTAGTTGTAATGATAGTATAACCACATTAAATGCTAATTTTTAATACTTACTGGGTGCTATTTATTTTCATTTAATTTGCACAACAGTGAGACTAGGTATTACCACTATCTCCACTTTACCATTGGGGTTAAGGCTCAGAAAAGGTAAGTAACTTGCCTAAGGCACCCTGACAGCATGTGGCAGAGACTGGACTGAACCAGATCATTCTGTGTCCAAGTCCATGTTTTAACCACCTCACTATATTTCCACTCACCAGATAAGGCAATAGCATTATTCTTATTGCCATGTTCAGGTATTATGCACAACAGATGTCCTTTTTGTCCGACACATCCAAACAGAAATCCCTCCGTGGTACACTGAGTATACAGAAAGGCCCACTGTCTCCCTGCAGTCACTAGAGAACCATTTGGTCCACAACAGCAGGAATGCACTAAATGGTTACAAGGCTGAGGCATTAACCCAAGTACCCTTCCTTACCAGGGGTGACTCAGACACCAGTGACAAAGATGTGTCTCATACTGATTGTTCACTCAGAGTTTATTTAAGGGATAAGAGGACATGACAAATCATAGCAGCATCTGTGTAGGAATATTTTTAAATCACAGAGAGAGACAGATAAACAAGCTAAACTTTTTGCTGAGTCCCAATAACGTTTCAACAGTCGCCTTATCTCCTGGTTTACACTATGAAGAGTCTCAATAATATATACTATATTAATATGTGTCATTTATGGTTACTGGAGGAATAAATTTCAAATGAGGAGTTCAGGAAACTCAATTAAATCCAAAAGTAATTATTAAATAATACCATTTTAATTAAGAGAATTAAGCCCTTTGGCTAGGATTCAGTTTAATTACTAAATCATTACAAGTTAAGACAAATGAATATTAACTTATAAACTGCTAGGTAAATTCTTTTTAAAAGGTAAACAACATAACGCAATTAAGTGTAACTATTACTCACTTTATAGAATTTGCATTCACCTCGAGGTTTACAAAATCTGCAGGTATGTCAACATAGCAAGCACCTGGACGACCATAAATACTGCTTCTCACGGCCTACGTTTATTATAAAATAGAAGAACAGATTTTAAAACTCTCAATCCTTATTACCATATTCCACTTGAAAATAATTTAAAACTATGAAATAAACATTACTTTAATTTTGGGGGACATCCTTAGTTGGAATGAAAAACCATGTTAATTAAAATTGAAATGTCCAAAAGAAATAAGCTATCAAGCCATGAAAAGACATGGAAGAACCTTAAATAATATTGCTAAGTAAAAGAAGCCAGTACTACATACTGTATGATTCCAAATATATGACTTCTGGAAAAGGCTAAGCTTCTGGTGAAAAGATCAGTTGTTGCCAAGGGGTCAAGAGGAGACGGGAGGGATGACTAGGTGGTGCACAGGGCATTTTTAGGGCAGTGAAACTATCCTGTAAGATACTGTAATGGTGGACACATGACATAAAGCATTTGTCAAAACCCACAAGACTGTACAACACAAAGAGTGAACCCTAACATACATATGGACTTTAGTTGATTATGATGCATCAATACTGGCTCATCAAATGAAACAAATGAACCACAGGAATGTAAGATGTTAAAAGAAGAAGTAATGTGCAGGAGGGAGGGGAGTATATGGCAACTCTCTGCACTTTCTGCATAATTTTTCTGTAAACCTAAAACTGCTCTAAAAAATAAAGTCCAAAAATTTTTTAAAAAATTAAATGCCCTCGTCTAGGGTCATAAAAACTAACAAGCAGCCATCTAAGATGCATCAATCGGTCCCAACCCATCTGGAACAAAGAAGAATGAAGAACACGAAAGACAAAAGCAAAGTATTAGCCCAAGAGACAGAAAGGGCCACATAAACCAGAGACGTCATCAGTCTGAGACCAGAAGAACTAGATGGTACCCGGCTACCACCAATGACCACCCTGACAGGGAACACAACAGTCCCTGACGGAGCAGGAGAAAAGCAGGGTGCAGAACTCAAATTCTAGTAAGAAGCCCAGACTTAATGGTCTGACTGAGACTGGAGGGACCCCAGAAGACTTGGTTCCTGGACTCTCTGTTGGCTCAAAACTAAAACCATTCTCAAAGCCAACTCTTCAGACAAAGATTAGAATGGACTATGGGACATAAAATGATACTGGTGAAGAGTGTGCTTCTTAGCTCAAGTAGATACATGAGACTAAATGGGCAGCTCCCGTCCAGAGATGAGATGAGAAGGCAGAGAGGGTCAGGAGCTGGATGAACGGACACGGGAAATCCGGGATGGAATGGACGAGCGTGCTGTCACAGAACAGAGAGAGCAACTAGGGTCCCATAACAATGTGTGTACAAATTTTTGTATGCGAAGTTAACTTGAACTGTAAACTTTCACTTAAAGTACAATTAAAAAAAAAAATTAAATACCCTCTCTTGATTCTATGTATTTTAAAAGATGTTTTTGTTCAAAAAGGAAAGAGATAAGAAAGAAAATACTTAGGGCTTTAAAACTCGTTTTCTATCCCACTTTAACCTTGGCAATTGTTCACTGGGTTCTGCCAGCCAGATCTTCACCCTGTACCATGCACTTTCACCTGCTTCCTAACCCTAAGAATTCGGCAGGGCTTCCAGAAACTGTGATGCTGAAATGTGTGTCAAATGGTTTCTGGAACTCATGGTTTTAAAATAGCTCAAACATAATTTCACATATAAACATTGGTTAACTAAAATTAATTTATAATATGCTGTTTAGCCAACTAAGAGATGGTCAAACCTGCTTTAATCCCAATTTTCAAAGAAAAAAGAGAGTATACAGGATTTCATTATACTCTTCTCTTTGTTTTTATATAATTAAAAAAATGATAATCTAAAAAATTAAAGCATAGGAGAAACTTTTTAAAAAAAAACCTTATTTTGCCTGTTTCTATAATTAAATGTAATGGCAGTGATCATCAAATGTGAATAGCTGCTTAACAGTATCATTTTTAACTGCCTGTGTATATTTCTAATTGTTACTCATTCTATTGAGAATAAAAGTAACATAGGTAGCAGCAACCAAAAAAAAACCAATCACTAGGAGAGCTTGTAATTAAATACTGTACCTTTTCAATAATAGTGGGAATAGCTTCTATGCTACTTGGCCGGGCAGAGAACTTGCTATATAATCTGCAAGCTTCAACCTATGTGCAAAAAAAAAAGAAAAAAAAAAAAAGAATCACTTAAAATTCCACCCACAGATCACATTACTCTTCTAAAGGAAGATAAAATTTTAAGTCATTACTTCCTATTATTTTTAGAGGCAAGATGGAGAAAATGCATGAGCTAGACTGTTTTTTTTTTTTAAAGCCTATTCAAAGAACAATCAAATTTCTATCTCAATATAATTCAGTAAGCAAATCAAAACAAGACATTGTTTTAATTCTCAGATGTAGGCAAAAATGAAAAAGCTGGCTAATACCTAGTGTTCCCCAGAACACAGGAAAACAAGTGTCATCATAAACTGCTGATGAGAGTACAAATAGGAAGGGAAGTTGACAATGTCTACTAAAAATTACAATAAGCACACCCTTGGACCCAGCAATCCCAAAGCTAGGAATTATACTTGTACTGGTGCATAAAAATATAAACTAGGGCATTCACTGAAGCACTGTTCTCAGTATCAAAAAACTTAAAAAATAAAAATTAAAAAAAAAAAAGGGACTAGTTTAATCAAACTGTGGTGAATTCACACAGGGAATGCTATGCAGCTATTTTTTTAAAATGAAGTAGTTCCAGATGTACTGATATAGAAAGATAGCCAGTCTTAAGTGCAGCATAATATGTAGTATGTGATTCCATCTATGCTTCCTAAAAGGAGACAGATACCATCTATTCAAATCACAAACAGATAACATGTGCATAAAAAAAAATTCTGATAAGCTACATCAGAAAGTCATTAGCACTGGAGAAAAAGAAGTGGTGGAAGACATTTATTTTTAACTTTATGCCCTCTGCACCACTGAATTATTTTTTAATCACGTACATAAATTACTTTTGCTAGAAAAAGGAAAAGAGGTTTGGTGCCTGCTCAAAAGTCTGAATACAGACTTTGGTAAAGCCCCAAACTACTGCCACAGACGTTGTAGAAAAGATGATTTAGGGCCCCAAATAACAGCAGTCATTACTGTCTGCCATAATCACAGAAAACACTGTTCCTGCCAACAGTCTGATTTCAGGAAGACAGCTCTGATAGCCCACCAGGACCAGACAGCTGTAAAATGTACAGCTAAGGAAGCTTTGCTGAAATTATTTAGTACAGTCTGTGCTTAAAGGTACATATTTTAGCCCAGTATAGGTCTTTAATATCTCTAGTCCCTTCTAGACAATAAAACTCTGTAAGGGCAGGAAGAGGCTGCATCTTATTTACTCTGTAACCACAGTCACTAGCACAATCAATATTTACTGACTCATTTTAATTGTGGCAAAGTTTATGTTATGCTCCTTTGGATGGTGATAATCAGCAATTCATCTTTCTAACATTTATCCTAATTTGGGAAAGTAAAGCCATGTCATCAGCAAAGTGTTTTTTTTTTTTTATTTGCTTTAACAAAACAATACATTTTCAATTTTTCTAAAAATTAAATCAGGTTTAACTGTAAGTCAAAAGATAAAGAAACTATGTCACAGCCTTTCTTTAATCTTTAAAATCATAACATCATTCATTATGATGTTCCTAAGGCACTTTGATTCTGACAGTATTATGGTATAGATTTTGGAAATATAAAAATCCTGATTATATTTATTAGTGGATCTCCTGTCTAAGTACACCATCGTTCTCATAAATTATCTGCTTCCATTTGGGGGAACAAAATATATTCCTTATCATACTACCTTCATATGCACGTGTCTGTTAATTCTACTTATTTTTTCCAATTTTCAGTTCTATACTGTATATACAAATTATAAAAAAGCCGAAGAATAAACGTTAAAGTTTCTCATTACAATAATAATGTATTCTCACATTTCTGCTAGTTTTCCTTTTATACATTTGTTGCTATGCTGTCTGGGACATATAAATTCAGGACTGTTGAGCTTTCACTGTTTAACGACCTATTCCACCACCCCTCTGTCAGTTTGTTGCACTGTGATGACTTACGTGTTGCTGTGATGGTGGCAGCTATGCCACTAGGATTTCAAATACCAGCAGGGTTATCCATGGTGGACAGGTTTCAGCAGAGCTCCCAGGCTGAGACAGACTAGGAAGAAAGGTCTGGCAATTTACTTTCAAAAATTAGCCAATGAAAACCCTACAGATCACATCAGAACACTGTCCAGCTCGCTTGCTTTGGGCACATTATCAAGAGGGATAAATCGCTAGAAGAGAACATCATGTTTAGTGAACCAGAAAGCCAGCAAGAGCATAGGAGACCCTCAGTAAGACAGACTGGCACAATAGCCACAGTAATGGACTTCTGATTGTGAGGATGACATGGGCCCAGGAAATGTTTCGTTTTGTTGTACGTAAGATCACCATGAATCAGAGTCGACTCTGCAGCTAACAACAATGTACTTTTAAGCATTATATAGTGACTGTTTCTCTCGATACTTTGTGGTAAGGAATCTAGGGAACAGCTGATAGTCTTAGTTCCACAGGTATGACAGAATTTAGATTACCTGCTAACTTTTAGTCCTTCATGTTTATATCCTTTAGTTTTAAGTGTTTCCACAACAAACTGATACTTGAATTTTAAATTAATCAGTAACCTTTCTCTTTGGTCATTTTATTTAATCTAATAAACTATTATTTGCCTTTTCAGGAAAAAAGGCTTATAAGGGATATTATCCTCTGCTTTTTTTTATCTATACAGTTTTTGTGGTAACCTACATTTCCCTTTAAATAACTTATCTGCTGTGTTGGTTTTACAAATATATCAGCATCTTTTAAATAATTGTTATTTTCTATCATTAACTAAGCATAATTTCATCTCCTTCCAAAAGTATAAAAATTCAATTTTTGCACCAACTTATGCCAGAGTCGGAAAGAGCCCTGGTGGCACAGTGGTTAAGTGCTCAGCTGCTAACCAGAAGGTCAGTGGTTTGAACCCACCAGCTGCTCCATGGAAGAAAGATGTGGCAGTCTGCTTTGGAAAACATTACAGCCTTGGAAACCCTATGGGGCAGTTCTACTCTGTCCTATAGGATCACTGTGAGTCAGAATCGACTCAATGCCAAGGGGTTTGGTTTTGGGTTTAAACCAGAGTTTAGTATTTTATATTAATCATATATAAAATTCTGTTTATATTTTGAAGTTCTCATGATGATTCCTGATATACAAACCTCTAGACCATGAATGACTTTGTTATTAACTTTGTCCTGTAAATGCTCAAATATATTTATATCTTTAGTGTCAATCATTTACTCTCGTCTATTTGCTTTCTACTACTATTCTTAAAACTGCAGCATTTTGTTGACGAGTTCTTTCAGGTGTTTTAAAATCTTGACATACTTTCCTTCAGTCTTCTTAGATGAAAACGAACTTGTCCAGGGTCTGTTTCAGTTGTTGTCAGTTGCTGCGGTGTCGGCTCTGACTCATGGTGACCCCATGAACGCCAGAATGAAATGTTGCCCAGTTCTGTGCGATTTTCACAATCATTGGTACGCTTGAGCTCATTGTTGCAGCCACTGTGTATTTTGAGTGTCTTCCAACCTAGAGGGTTCACCTTCCTGCACTGTATCAGACAATATTCTGTTATGATCTGTAGGGTTTTCATTGGCTAATTTTCAGAAACAGATCACCAGGACTTTCTTCTTAGTCTGTCTTAGTCTGGAAGCTCCACTGAAACCTAACCACCATGAATGATCCTGCTGGTGTATGAAATACTAGTGGCATAGTTTCCATCATCCCAGTAACAACACACAAGCCACCATGAACAATAAACTGACAGGCGGGTGGTGGGCCCAGGGTCTACTGGTATTCCTTTTGAGAAGGATTTTTTCCTCTGAACTTTTCTACTTCTCTAAAATCTGAGAGGCATAATTTAAAATCATTTTCATTCCTGTATATTTTTAACTCTTAGAGGAACTTATTTCAGAGTTTAAAAGCTTGTCAAAAAGGTGTATTTCTGGGAAAACTGATCCCAAGTAGGGCCTAAAAGCTCTTTCTCAATATTCACCCTGCGATTGTTTTTTAGTTCAGGAAAATTAAATTCTCCCAGGAACCTCTATTTTATCTGTATTAATTTTTGTTTTGCAAACATGGCTTTTTATCTTTTCCCCATAAGCCTTAAGCTCGAGAGGAAAAGTCTAGAGCTGGGTACCTGAGGAAACTCCTGGAAGGCTCCCATTGTTTCCTGACTTCTGTCAGAGGAACCACCAATCACAATCAAGGGCCTGAAATATTAATTTTTAAAAACAGAATTACATTTTCCTTTAATTCTAATAAAAAGACCAGACTTAACGGTCTAACTGAGAGTATAGGGACCCCAGAAGACATGCCCCCTGGACTCTCTCTTAGCCCAAAACTAAAACCATTTCCGAAGACAATTCTTCAGACAAAGATTAGACTGGACTGTGGGACTTAAAATGATACTCGTGAAGAGTGTGCTTCTTAGCTCAAGTAGATACATGAGACTAAACGGGCAGCTCCTGTCCAGAGGCGAGCTGAGAAGGCAGAAAGGGACAGGAGATGGCTGAATGGGACACAGGAAATCCAGGGTGAAAGGGAGGAGGGTGCTGTCACAGGATGGGGAGAGCAACTAGGGTCACATAGCAGTGTGTGTATAAATTTTTGCATGAGAAACTAACTTGAACTGTAAACTTTCATTTAAAGCACAATAAAAAAAGAAAAAAAAAAAGGAGGAGGCTTGAAGCTAAAAAAATTTCCTTTAAAATTGTAGATAAAGATTTAGAAGGTAACCTGATGTGAGAGAACCTTTCCTCAAAAAACCCAAAATTTGTAATAACTGTTTTTCCTTTTTTCCCCTTTTTGGATGGGGGTCCTAACCTCTAAGTGTGGTGATATAAAATGAATTTTTACACTCTTCCTGTTATTCCTGAGAAGAAATTTTACACTTTCCTAAGTGAGTCTACTTGGAAATGACAGAGAAAGTGACATTCCTCAGTAATAAAATTCTTACCCTTCAAGGAGGAAAAAAAGAATATTGCAAACCTAAAACTGCTCAAGAAATAAATTAAAATGAATAAATTAAAATATATTTAGAAAAATGTATTTCTCTCTTAAAATTCTAAAATGAATTTTTTCTAACTTAGTAAATTCAAGTGTTATAATTTTATTTTTTATGCCCTGCCTCCAAGAAATTTTTTAGTCTCTTGAAAGACTATAACTAAACAACAAGATGACACAACAAAAGGGATTTCTGCTTATTCTGAAACATTATACACATCATTTACTTCAAGACAACTGAGAATATCAGATAAAATATCGTAGGCAATGCTCTGACCAGGATCACAATAGAGGGTCCTGGACAGAGCTGGAAAAGGATGTAGAACAGAATTCTAACTCACAAAAAAAAGACCAGATTTACTGGCCTGA